GAGAACAAAGAAAGCTCATCTGCCAAACTTGGTTCAGAAATATATAAACCAAGCAAATATAGCCTTCATGAAACATTAGGGGGGTGGTTTGGCCCCTACATGAAATCACAGACTGACATTTGTAATTTGTATATACTGCATATATCATTTATTACATTTTCTAAATGATATTTTCTTTGGTAGAGTGATTTCTTAACAATCTTGTACTTGTTTTCATGAAAATCAACGTATTCACTGGCTAAACCATAACTATTAACGGTGTCACAATTACGGCATACATTTGTGCCTTTGTTATTTACCATGTCTTGTTTTTCACAACAAGGAAGGTATATTTTTGATGGTTGTTGTAACTGTTGATCACAGAATGGGCATAGTGATCATTTCCTTGTGTATTTCTGTGTTGCATTTCATTACTATTACCTTACAATAAATTTAGCCATCGGAATCTGTTGATTGTGAACAATCAGGCGACCATTCTTCACCTGAACTCTGAGAATCCCAACTTGATTGGCTTAAACTTGAAGAGCTTTCTAATGTACTTTGGCTTGATTGACTTGATTGACTTGAACTTTGTGAACTCATATATTATAGGTTTAGATTTTATTTTTTATATATTTTTATATCATGGAGAAAACAGTTGAATCAGTTATCGGTAAATATGAAGTATATTCTTTTAGATTAGAAAAATACCCTGATAAAAAATTCGATATGGTTTTTTAAAAAGAGTCATTTTGGAAGAAACTTGAACGTTTATTATGGAGATAAAATATATAACAATATTATCTGAATTAACAGCATCATTACTCGATTTGGTTTTGCATATTTTGCCGACAATATTTTTACAAAGATATCAAAAAGCATTTCAAAACAATAAAACATCATAACAACAAAGTCGTATTGCAGGACATTTTGTTAAGTCATCCATTGGTGAAAAACAACACTGCTATGTCGTGACGTCATTTCCAAGGGAAAGTACCTGCTTTGTCACGCAATTATTTTTATATATAATAATATATGGAGGTCAAACGTTGGTTCTGTCCGTATTGTTGTGAATAATATTTGTTAGCATATATAGTCCAACATAAACTAACAATGAACCTCTTTTAATATAATTGGAATTTCTATTTGACAGCATTTACAAAAATAATGGGGAACTTTCATCTTATGTAATACTTAGAAAGTTATTTTTAAATGTTATGGTGATTTATGGAAGGCTGTTTTTATATTGTCTATGGGGGGTTATTTTTGATTTGTGGAGGGCCGGCAAACATGTTTTTAGCTCACGAGCGGGATAGTGCAGGAAATGATGATCATTTTGTGATTACCATTTTCAAACCTCTCAGCGTGATTGCGTGACATTTCTCTGAAAGACCGGATTACATCAGGAAGTCGATAGCAGGACTTTCCCTCGGAAGTCTATCTATGATTATTTATGTCGACTGGGAGACGAATCGTTTTCACTTTTTGTGGCACAGGTACCACAAAATATTGACAAGCCAAGGTTTACACCCTTCAGAGTCGATCTTTCAAATGGTTAGCCTGCGAACACAGACGTATTTCCGGCTGTCGCTTGTCTCCGCCGAAAATAACGTCTGCGAACCCGAGGCAGGAAACGATTTCTGTGACATAGGAATTTTAAGCCGATCACAGTTTAGCTCAAGTAGCCCCAGAACTACTGCGCGAGGTATTCGCTGCGAGGAGCACTCGAGTTTCATTCTATCATGGAATCTGATTGGCCTTCACAGAAATCGTTTCCTGACTCGGGTCCGCAGACGTTATTTTCGGCGGAGACAAGTGACAGCCGGAAATATGTCTGCGTTCGCAGGCTATCAAATGGTGGGCCATTTTTTTTATTTCTAGAGAGTTGGGAGGCATGAAATTTGCTCACGAGCGGACATGCTCTAATTTGATCATGAAATAGTAATCACTTGAATGGTAATGGTTAAATGGTGACCATCACTTGAAAATGAACACTTAAGAATCGCTCCATCGCCATTTTCGCTACGCGAAACCGTTGTAAATGAGCTAAAGCTCATTTTTCGCTATGACTCTTCCCGCCTACGCGATACTGGCTATTCTGCTTCTCCATCCCCTGCTCGATACAACATCGTTTTTGCAAGCAAAAACTTGCTTTAATCTGCGCTGCCAAGAAGCAGGCCAGGGCTTCGCATGGTGCTGCGTGTTAGTGATTTGAATTTGAAACATTTAGTTTGGGGTTTTTCGCATGAGATATAGCTGGCGTGACTTTTCGCACTGACAGCACAGGTAGTACGCACACTCTGATTGGCTAGCTGTAGGGTATTATTCTCCCGTAATGCCCACGGGCCGATGACGGGTCTGCATAAACAGAGCAAAAGCCAAATAATAAACAACTCATTAACCTCGAACGTTCGGTCTTTACAAGAGAATCGTATTGTGGCTATCGCTCGGTCAATACGGCATGGTCTCGGTTTGGATTTTCTCGTTAAGACCCCACTCTCGGTTAATAAGTAGTTGTTAATAGACAGAAGGTGCTTTGAAGGGGACTTGGATTCTCGCATGCCTGAAAAATCATTTGCACGAATCTTTATAATTTAACAATTTTAAAATTAGGGTGTGGAGCTTAAGGCGCAAAGTTGGAATAGAAAGGTTAACACGCATCCGTATTCATATTGACTATTACTGGTATATTTTCAATGCAACGATCAATCCCAACGAACTTTACGGTCTTTCCGATAAACTGAGGTAACGATAACGGAGTAACGATCTCTACAATCGCCACGATCGTTGAAGAGTAGTTTCTATATTAACTATGTATCACCGTCGTCAAAAACTGTAGACTCTAGCAAGACTTTGTGCGGACACGTCCGGCTGTACCGCAGGCTACTATCGTATAGCGCGCGTTAAAAAGAAACCAACCTTAATGTGTGTTGCTTCATTACGTTTATAAGAGATCACCTCGAGGTTGTCAGTTACGAGTTGATGAAACATTTTCGTCTGTTGCAGGTCTCAGAAAGGCCCATCTGGCAATCAAAAAGCGGACAAAAATTCAGAAAGCACTGACGTTCCAAGCCCGTGGTCTTCAGTACCGTCTGATAAGCAATACGGAGGTGTTCCGTTAAATTCAACCTCACTTGAATATAACGAAATGGAGACCAACTCATCTGACCAGATAAGCACAGAAAGTAATTGAAAATGATAAGCTGTATATTTAGTTTTTCCAGTAGATCTGTAACGAATACAACTGTCACGTTCATTCTAACATTCATCTGTCTGACTGACAGACCTACTGACAGACATACTGACAGACTGACTAAGCGACGGACCGATCGTCCGATATGATGACTGACTGACTGTCTGATTGACTGATTGACTGACTGACTGACTGGCTGGCTTATTGGGTGACGCATGGAGGGCGGATGGAAGGAGCAAAAATTTGTCCCCTTTCATTTTATTGCATTGCATTGCATTTTGTTTCATTTCATTTCATTTCATGTTAGAAACAGCAGTCCTGCCAGACCCACCAGTTGGCAGCAGCAGCGGGCCTATGCCAGACTGTCGGGAGTATAAGGAAACAGATTCCTACCAGTGGCATGAAGAGTATGTCCAAAATAGTGATACTTAGCGATGAATAAGTTAAACTTACATCTGTGCATGCAGCTTAAGCGGAACCAAAACCCAAAGACTTCACTCAATGATATTGGGCAGGACTGAAAATGTTTATCTTATATGGCTTGTGTTTTCAACCGATATAACGCACACTCTGGTTGGCTAGCTCTAGGGTATTATTCTCCCGTAATGCCCACGGGCCGATGACGGGCCTGCATAGACAGAGCAAAAAGCCAAAGAATAAAAAACTCATTAACCTCGAACGTTCAGTCTTTACGGGAGAATCGCATGATAAAACCTCGACTTTGTCGTATTGTGGCTATCGCTCGGTCAGTACGGCATTGTCTCGGTCTGGATTTTCTCGTTGAGACCCCACCCTCGGTTAATAAGCAGTTATTAATAAACAGAAGTGTGCTTTGAAGGGGACTTGGATTATCGCATGCCTGAAAAATCATTTGCACGAATCTTTATAATTTAACAATTTTAAAATTAGGGTGTGGAGCTTAAGGCGCAAAGTTGGAATAGAAAGGTTAACACGCATCCGTATTCATATTGACTATTACTGGTATATTTTCAATGCAACGATCAATCCCAACGAACTTTACGGTCTTTCCGATAAACTGAGGTAACGATAACGGAGTAACGATCTCTACAATCGCCACGATCGTTGAAGAGTAGTTTCTATATTAACTATGTATCACCGTCGTCAAAAACTGTAGACTCTAGCAAGACTTTGTGCGGACACGTCCGGCTGTACCGCAGGCTACTATCGTATAGCGCGCGTTAAAAAGAAACCAACCTTAATGTGTGTTGCTTCATTACGTTTATAAGAGATCACCTCGAGGTTGTCAGTTACGAGTTGATGAAACATTTTCGTCTGTTGCAGGTCTCAGAAAGGCCCATCTGGCAATCAAAAAGCGGACAAAAATTCAGAAAGCACTGACGTTCCAAGCCCGTGGTCTTCAGTACCGTCTGATAAGCAATACGGAGGTGTTCCGTTAAATTCAACCTCACTTGAATATAACGAAATGGAGACCAACTCATCTGACCAGATAAGCACAGAAAGTAATTGAAAATGATAAGCTGTATATTTAGTTTTTCCAGTAGATCTGTAACGAATACAACTGTCACGTTCATTCTAACATTCATCTGTCTGACTGACAGACCTACTGACAGACATACTGACAGACTGACTAAGCGACGGACCGATCGTCCGATATGATGACTGACTGACTGTCTGATTGACTGATTGACTGACTGACTGACTGGCTGGCTTATTGGGTGACGCATGGAGGGCGGATGGAAGGAGCAAAAATTTGTCCCCTTTCATTTTATTGCATTGCATTGCATTTTGTTTCATTTCATTTCATTTCATGTTAGAAACAGCAGTCCTGCCAGACCCACCAGTTGGCAGCAGCAGCGGGCCTATGCCAGACTGTCGGGAGTATAAGGAAACAGATTCCTACCAGTGGCATGAAGAGTATGTCCAAAATAGTGATACTTAGCGATGAATAAGTTAAACTTACATCTGTGCATGCAGCTTAAGCGGAACCAAAACCCAAAGACTTCACTCAATGATATTGGGCAGGACTGAAAATGTTTATCTTATATGGCTTGTGTTTTCAACCGATATAACGCACACTCTGGTTGGCTAGCTCTAGGGTATTATTCTCCCGTAATGCCCACGGGCCGATGACGGGCCTGCATAGACAGAGCAAAAAGCCAAAGAATAAAAAACTCATTAACCTCGAACGTTCAGTCTTTACGGGAGAATCGCATGATAAAACCTCGACTTTGTCGTATTGTGGCTATCGCTCGGTCAGTACGGCATTGTCTCGGTCTGGATTTTCTCGTTGAGACCCCACCCTCGGTTAATAAGCAGTTATTAATAAACAGAAGTGTGCTTTGAAGGGGACTTGGATTATCGCATGCCTGAAAAATCATTTGCACGAATCTTTATAATTTAACAATTTTAAAATTAGGGTGTGGAGCTTAAGGCGCAAAGTTGGAATAGAAAGGTTAACACGCATCCGTATTCATATTGACTATTACTGGTATATTTTCAATGCAACGATCAATCCCAACGAACTTTACGGTCTTTCCGATAAACTGAGGTAACGATAACGGAGTAACGATCTCTACAATCGCCACGATCGTTGAAGAGTAGTTTCTATATTAACTATGTATCACCGTCGTCAAAAACTGTAGACTCTAGCAAGACTTTGTGCGGACACGTCCGGCTGTACCGCAGGCTACTATCGTATAGCGCGCGTTAAAAAGAAACCAACCTTAATGTGTGTTGCTTCATTACGTTTATAAGAGATCACCTCGAGGTTGTCAGTTACGAGTTGATGAAACATTTTCGTCTGTTGCAGGTCTCAGAAAGGCCCATCTGGCAATCAAAAAGCGGACAAAAATTCAGAAAGCACTGACGCTCGAAGCCCGTGGTCTTCAGTACCGTCTGATAAGGAACACGGAGGCGTTCCGTTAACTTCAACCTCAATTGAAGATAACGAAATGGAGACCAACCCATCTGACCAGATAAGCCCAGAACGTAATACAAAAAGATAAGCTGTATATTCAGTTTCTCCAGTAGATTTCTAAGGAATACAATTGTCAAGTTCACTGTAACATTCAACTGTCTGACTGACAGACCTGCTGACAGACTTACTGACAGACTGACTAGCCGACGAACCGATCGTCCGATATGATGACTAACTAACTGACTGACTGACTGACTGACTGACTGACTTACTGACTGACTGTCTGATTGACTGACTGACTGACTGACTGGCTTATTGGCTGACGCATGGAGGGCGGATGGAAGGAGCAAAAATTTGTCTTCTTTCATTTTTTTGCATTGCATTGCATTTCGTTTCATTTCATTTCATTTCAATTTAGAGACAGCAGTCCCGTCAGACCCACCAGTTAGCAGCAGCAGCGGGCCTATGCCAGACTGTCGGGAGTATAAGGAATCAGATTCCTACCAGTGGCATGAAGAGTATGTCCAAAATTCTGATATTTAGTGATGAATAAGTTAAACTTACAGCTGTGCATGCAACTTAAGCGGGACCAAAACCCAAAGACTCCACTCAATGAGATTGGGCAGTACTGAAAACGTTTATCTTATATGGCTTGTGTTTTCAACCGATATAACGCGCATTCTGGCTGACTAGTTCCCAGAGTAGTATTCTCCCGTAATGCCCACGGGCCGATTACGGGCCTGGATAGACAGAGCAAAAAGCCAAATAATAAACAACTCATTAATCTCGAACATTTGGTCTTTACGGGAGAATCTCATGATAAAACCTCGGCCTTGTCGTATTGTCACTATCGCTCGGTCAATACGGCATTGTCTCGGTTTGGATTTTCTCGTAAAGACCCCACTCTCGGTTGAAGTGCACCTAACCGGAAAATTTTTCTTCCCAAGAACGAATCTACTTGTTATTTGAAATACTTCTGCGAAAAAAAAATTGGATTCGGTTAAATCGTCGATTTTTTTGTGCCCCGACGAAATCTTGAAAATAGCTCCAAAACACCGCCATTTTATTTCGCGATCGAGTTCGAGGATAATGGGTCGAGCGGGTGTTGTGACGGCTACCCAGGAAGGTTGAATATCTCACGTTCTCTCATTTCCTTCAGGATGGTGTAATATACATTAGAAAAGTGCGCAGAAACGCCTTCTAGAAGTGCTACCGGCTGTTGCAGCAATATCCCAGATTTAAAGAAAGATATAGTGTACAATTTAGTGGCGATGATCGGTCAATGATACGGTTAAGACGTAAACGATGGTTGATTTTGTCCAACCGAAACAAGCGAACTGACTTTGAAAACCATTGAACAACTCTCACTGGAATTTGCTCCGCAGACTTTCAAATGCTATTTTCAAAATTTTGTGCTTAAAGCCAACCAGCAATTTGTAGAAATACTACCGAAAACCTATATCTTCCAATCCGCAGCATTTATAACATAGCCGGCAAAGTTGTGTGATCAATTAAGGAGCGTTGCGACCAAATATACTGATATGTAAATAGCTGGCAACTGTACGCCGCCAACCAACACTTATTTCTCTTTCGATTTAGATAAGAGTCGAAGATTAATCCTTTAGAATTACATGATAACAAAATTGTTACGCTCACAGACTTTTTCGAAGGTTTGGAAATCAGCAATGTGACAAACATTCTTTGCAATAGTCTCGAAAATATGACCGCGTAGCATTATCTGCGTACCGCTTAGGGAACACATCCTTTTCGCTTATCCGACGAATTTCACTGCAAACTTTAAAAAAATTACATTGATTAGTTGGAGTTACGACTTAAAACGTGTGATAATGTGAAATCGGTAATTGTATGAAATGTTTCCTTCCACCTTGCTTCGCGCAGCTTCAAAAATACAGGTCTAAACAATTCTACCATTTTCAATCGATCGAAGCCATTGTTTTGGAGGTCATCAAGTCTTGAAAAGTGCAACACTTACGTCGCTCTTATAAACATGAAGCATTCCAGAAAGTAGAGCACAAACTGGATTTAATAGAACAACCATACCTTGACAAAATACATTCTCGCTGAGGACAAATGTAAACGGGCTATAAACACGCGTGGGAGTCTTGTGTTTAGGTGACGAAATTACCATCCCAAGCAGTCCTTGCGTTTTCTTTCCTGCTTTTCGTTTGCCTGCTCCTACACTTCGTATCTAGCTTTCCATTCCTAATATACAAGGAGCTCGTCCGCAAAGAAATCTTCCCCGTCGTCCCTTGAAATATTCTAAATTGTTCTCAAAACTCTAAGCAGTGAGTTCTCAGTTGTCGAACGTGCTCGATCGAAGCATATTTCCGAATCGACACTAACTCTGACTCCATTGACGAAAAAGAAATGATTCTGAAACAACACTTGGACGTTTTAGTCCCAAAATATATTTGAACGATTAGTTTTGTTTTCCATTTCCTCGAGCAAATACAGAGAGCTTACTGAGGCGCCATTGTGTTTGGTTCCCGGGCAGACGTCATCAGCAACCGCCGCCCTAGACTCCCTAAAACGCGGTCGCGTAACACTTCAAGCGCGACTTTGAAAGGGCATAGAAAATCGAGGATTCAACCCAAATCAAAATTTTTTTCGCTTAAATGCTTCGAAAAAAAATTGAATTCTTTTTAGCGAAAAAAGTTTTTTGGGGTTAGGTGCACTTGAATAAGTAGTTATTAATAAACAAAAGGTGCTTTGAAAGAGACTTGGATTCTCGCGTACCAAACAAATCATTTTCACGAATCTTTATAATTTAACAATTTTAAAATTGGGGTTTGGAGCTTAAGTCGCGAAGTTGGAATGGAAAGTTTAACACGTATCCATTTCCAGATTTACTATAATTGGTATATTTTCAATCCAACGATCGATCGCAGCGAACTTTACGGTCTTTTCGATAAAGTGAGGTAACGATAACGGGGTGACGATCTCTACAATCGCTACGATCGTTGAGCAGTAGTTTCTATGTTAACTATCACCGTCATCAGAAACAGTCTACACCGTCGGTGTAGACTCTATCGAGAATTTTCTGTGGACACGCCCGGCGGCACCGCAGGCTACTTTCGTATAGCGCTCGTTGAATGGAAACCAGCCTTAATGTGTGTTGCTTCATTACGTTTATAAGAGATCACTTCGAGGCTGTCAATTACGAATTGATGAAACATTTTCGTCTGTTGCAGGTCTCATAAAGACCCATCTGGCAATCAGAAAGCGGGCAAAAATTCAGAAAGTGCTGACGTTCCAAGCCCGTGGTCTTCAGTACCGTCTGATAAGGAACACGGAGGTGTTCCGTTAACTTCAACCTCACTTGCATATAAAGAAATGGAGACCAACCCATCTGATAAGACAAGCCCAGAAAGTAATTCAAAAAGATAAGCTGTATAGTCAGTTTCTGCAGTAGATCTGTAACGAATACAATTGTCAAGTTCACTCCAACATTCATCTGTCTGACTGACAGACCTACTGACAGACTGACTAAGCGACCGACCGATCCTCCGATATGATGACTGACTGACTGACTGACTGTCTGATTGACTGACTAACTGACTGACTGGCTTATTGGCTGACGCATGGAGGGCGGATGGAAGGAGCAAAAATTTGTCTTCTTTCATTTTATTGCATTGCATTGCATTTCGTTTCATTTCATTTCATTTCATTTCATTTCAATTTAGAGACAGCAGTCCTGCCAGACCCACCAGTTGGCAGCAGCAGCCGGCCTATGCCAGACTGTCGGGAGTATAAGGAATTAGATTCCTACCAGTGGCATGAAGAGTATGTCCAAAATTCTGATATTTAGTGATGAATAAGTTAAACTTACAGCTGTGCATGCAACTTAAGCGGGACCAAAACCCAAAGACT